TCAACAAACAGCAAAAATCTCTAAAGAGAGAGAGGTTTTTTAATATTTACAGCCTAAGTCTGAGCAACATCACAGACACGTCAACACAACTTTTTTGTGTTGCGTTTGATATAAACTTAAAACAGCTATGACTTATTGGTGAATAGGAACCGCATAAACGCACAAAAAAAGGCCGCACAAAAACAGATTTGAGTGTAAATGATGATTTGCGAGGATTTTTTTTGAAGACTCATTGAAATAGGAAAAAACAATTTTATAGTACATACAGTATTTACAAGAATATTGGAAATATTTCAAAGGCTTGACAAAAATTGTTCAAAACTGAAATGCTCAAGAAATATGTCTCTGCGAATGCACTTGACTTAAACTCATTTCTCATCATGAACGTCATTAGTGTTTCAGCTGCGATTGGCTTTGTACTACACAAAAAGTATTTTTTCCCAATTTTCACAATGTGTGACGTAACCAAAGAAGTTGCATTAAATTTTGTTTTGCGAAATCAAATGAGATTAGACTTGGATGTACACATATGACTGGGAAACAACTGATTAATCTAATCTAATTTTCGTTGATCAAAAAAAAAAAAAACAAGAGAACGGAAGTTATATCCGGCTGGGGCCGAATTTTGTACACACACCACTATTCACTTACCATGCTACTTTAGGATAACATTGATGGTTCATGTTGTTATTATTTGGTTGGTATTAAGGACTTTTAGATATTTTGGGTCAATTACTAGTAAGAATAACCAATTTCTTTTACCCTATCTGTAATTTATATGTATAAACACTTTTTAGAAAAACTTGAATACATTGGTCTCCACTTGCTTTTTACTTTTCTACACAATGCAATTGCGGGAATGCGTAATGAAGGTAGAAGCATTTAATTTTATTCGGAGACTTAACAAACACAGGTGTCTTCTTATTATTTCCCTAGGCGGAAAAACTTCCGGCAAAGCCAGTATACAAATGAAAAAGGATAGAGTCCGGGCAAGAAGGCGTTGGCCATCGAATCTTAATTTGGTTTATAGGCGGGATGGACATGCTAAGGTTCTTTTTCACAAAACCGTAAGCTTACATGGACTTTTAAACGATGTCAAAGGCGAAAGATATTATCGAATTTGATCTATTTCGTAGAAACATGACCTCTGTCAGCTGAAGGCTACGATACTCTAGAATTAATTGTGAACATCCAGGAATTTTAATTCAACTACAAAGTAAACACCAAAGAGGCGAAGTTAGAATTCGTACACAGAAAATTCATTTACAGCGGAGGGACTATTTAACCAGGGGTATAATTATACTTTTACGGACTAATGATGAAATCCCAAAGCATGTTAAATAAAATAAATGGATTCACATGAAGCAATTTCATGTACGACATAGGGGAAATTTGATGGAGAGTATAAGCATAGTTTTACGGACTAATGAAGATAACCCACGTTTTATATTCCTAGACGAGTTTAACATGAGCCATAAGCTCGCAGATGCTGAATAATAACCATTTCTTCTCTACTTTGCATAGAGTTTCAACGACAACGTTCATGCAGGATCATCTCGATTGAGCGTTTTCTAATGTGAGCGCACAGAATTAATAATCTCTGAGACTCCCTATGACCATAACTCTGGACTAATTATGGGTTTGTAGTTCAATTTAGTTTCTAATCAAATATGAATAAAAATACCGATTTCTATCAATTCATGCTTTAAGAATGTAATTTTTATGTTAGTGATAAAACTTTTACATGCAAGATACTCCTATGAAAATATCTATACAATTTTTGTAATGAATTGATCAAACAACGTTACAATATTGTTAATCTTAATAGTAGTGAACCAAGTTGTTTTGGAGATAAAAATTTACCTAGAGCTCTGATGGTTAGAGAAATAGAATGTGGAGCGAGTCCACGCTTTGGAGCAAGCAAAGATTGAAATTGCTATGAAACTTGAATTGGTAGACAATGTCCTCCTAACACCATTTTCTTAGAATGAAAGTTTGGGTCCTCTCACTATTGGATACTCCGAGTATAAAGCAAACTTACTGCAGCAGTGTACCGCGACAGAGTCTAAAACAGTTACAACGGTTCTCGAACTAGGGCTCCAAGTAGCATGCAGTAAGAATTGTTGAAGGCTAAATCTCACAAAGCATGAATCTGTTATAGAAGTAGTTATGTATCGGGCTATAAAATGTTAGCCAGATATCTTACATTGCGAAATTAGCGCAAAAGGGTAGTGATCCGAATTTGTTTTAATGACATGTTTTAAGATACTTGGCAGGTTGATAAAAAATCTCATGCTGAGTTCCTGTCGTATTCATTTATTTATTTATTTATTTCAAATTGGTTATAAAAAAAATTTCAACTAATCACTAGAAGAAACTTCAAAACCAACCAAAACTTAAACTTTAAACTAAAACTACTGCAAAAAGAAAGAAACAAATTAATAATAATGATGATAATAATAATGCCAATATAAGAAAATAATCAGTAATAGAGTAAGATCGTTGAAAGTATTCTACAAAGAGGTTGGCTATCCCAAGATACTGTGCCGCTTCTGAATACTCATAATGCACGACCAGCGGATCTTCCGCGTCGACTCGACAAAGTTGTAAAAAAGTTAATAACTAAAAGCAGTACTTCCCTGAGAATTTGTTGCTGTGGTTTTTCAATTACCTTATTGATCGCATATAAAGAGTGCTATTTAACTCGGGAGATCTCGATCTAATTGACAGTTCCTCAGGGGAGCCATTTAGACCCTATGTTATCTTTTTTATACATTATACAACCTCGTTCAAATTCTGGAATATTCTGTCATTGTTTAGGCAGTTTATTATCAATGTTGATCGGATAGAATTTCTTCAGTGAAATTTTCTTTTCTTTGCTTTACGCGATCTGCCATGAGGTCCCATTAGAATTCTTCCGCGCTGTAAAAATAGGCTTAATCTACATATTGCCACCATCACTGATTAGGAGACAGGATCATGCGATCATCCTGTCAAAATTTTATTTTGTTTTTCAAAATATTTATAACGCACAGAAGCAAATTTCCAAAAATAAATCATAAAAATTCTTGGGCAGTTTCGGAATGCCCTTAAGCACTTTCCTCAGTTCATCTGTTTTTCTGCGCAGCTACGTGCTATCGTGGTAAAGATTCTCCGGTTCGAAAACGATCCAAGCTATCACAAGAACACGCCCGTACGCTTGTGTAACAAAAACTGTGAACACATAAAGTACAACAATACATATTTTGTTCTGAAAATAAGAAAGATCAACCGCGACTACTCAATAGTGTAAAGTATGATAATTAACTCTTTTGAGTATTACGGAGATGGGTACAAAAGATTCGGTCATACCAGAATACAATTTTTCTACTTGTTTACTTTTTTTTTTTTAATCTCAAGAGACGACAACCGTTTTCTAACGCTCGCAAAACGTGGGGAATTCCCACACTTTTAATCAAAGTGATATCGAGGTTTAGTCAAATTACTTTTTAAAACGTCTCGGTTATCGCGAAAATTCAGGAGTAGAACTTAAGTTCGCTGCAGTTCTTTCAAGTTGCTACAGTTCAACAAGAAAATGACATTCGACTTTGACGAAATGCTTTATAGCCACCACGTTCATCTTAGAAAAAAGAGAAATGTAAAGAGAATGGAAAAAGGTGAGATTTCGATACTCTATAACTATGAACTTTGTACATTTTTTTTATTTTCCTATTGACTTTTATAATATTTAGTTTTATTCCACAACATTGGCTGCAAAGCAGCCTTGTGAAATGTTAGTTTGGTAGCTTCAATCGCAGAAAATGTAGTGACGAACAGGGTAACTGGCAGGAATGAGACGTCGGCCTGCCTGAAGAAAAGAAAACAGAAGAAGAAGACGTAGAGCAGAGTTAAAAAAAAGGAAAAACAAAGAGATCGAAATTGGACAATGGAGTGAAATTACTGTGCGGAATTGAAGGGTATTTTCAAGGTTGATAGATATATTTAGCTGTGTTCGGTGTGAGAACCTGTTTCTAAATTGTGAAACATATAAATATTTTAAAGCGTTGTAAAACAATTTGAAAGTTATTTAACAAAAATGAAACTGAAATAATTGACTGAAACTGAATGACTGATAAATTCGATAAATTGCAAATCATCGCCCGAAGGAGACCACAGGTAGGGTGGGGTACACAATGGTCCAGAGCTTATGATCTGCTCGCTCTGTAAATAGGCTTCGCCTATCCATTTGTTCCTATAACGGTAAAGCAAGTGTATTTATTGTAGATGTAGATATCTGTGGAGTGTCTGTGAGAGAAAAATTTAAAACCCCTTCATATCTCTCGAATTGGCTATCTCAGCAATGATACGTGCGTACATATCTACAAGTGTAGCTTTAAAAATATTGAAGGCAGTAGTTCGATAGTTAGACAGAAAGGAAGGAAGGCAGATGGTAGCGTTACGCTCTATAGGATTACCTAAATCAACAATGAATACAGAGTAACTAAGCGTTTTTTTTTTTTTTTCTTTGAAGCAGAACTGTTTTTAGGTGACGTATCTTTCGACGAATTTTACTCACTTCCATCATTGCTTTTTGCGAACTTTAGACAATGTCTTAGTGTTTACCGCAGACAAACGAGCATGCTATTTAATGCTTTAATCCTGATCAAGAATATATGTACTTTATGAGTTCTTCGATGGTTTCTTCTTCTTGGCTGTTGCAAACATATTAACCAGCATTCTTCGATGGTAGATATAAAAGCCAATGTCTTTTTACAGCTTTCTTATGTAAGAGGTATGAAAACCTACAAAAAGGAGATTAAGTTTACATTCAGTGCAAATATTCGTGGCCACTAATACGCGAGATTATCCGGTTATTATTAAGAATGCATATCTAAAACACTATTCAAACCGATTAAACCCCTTATCACTCCAGCACTGTTAGGCAGAAATTGACTCAGAAATGAACTATAAATTATATTATATTTAAAAACAATAAACAGCATTATTTCATTGATTCAATAGCCACTGGCGATGCAACAACCTGGCGCTAAAACACGACGAATTTGAAATAATACAACAGAAAAAAAAGAGAAGCAAAAGCAGAAAAATCCATAATGAATTATTATGCGTATGCCTTATCTTTGGTTTTGCTTTGGCGAGATTGTTCCGCAGTACGTTGAACGTTTAACACAAACACTGATTGATAAGGATTTCACAATTATTTATTATCTCAGCTTAATAGTCCAGATGAGGAAGTTGCCATGTGCAGTTATATACTGAATCAGTTGGACGTAATAAAGGCGAACAATGAGATTTTCAAATTACGTATCGAGATGTTGGAGCATCGTTTGGAAAAATTTCAGCAATTGTTTGAAAACAATTTTCACATGGTAGTCGATATGAATGAAAACACTCATAAGCTTCTCCAGACGCAACATATTGAAGCCCTGCGGACTATAAAGAACTCCAATGAGATTCTATTAAAGCAGTATGAAAAAGTAACCGACATTGAAATTAGTTTACAACATTTAAAAGACAAGGTGCTGAAAAAGGATGAAATTTTGTCAAACACATCAGCATCTACATTTTCAATTTTAAAATTTTCGTCGGACGAACTGAAAAAAACCGGTATGAAAATTTAATTACCTAATAAGATGAATTATGAAATCCTTTTTGGCAACAGAGGATCGAATTGTGCATAAAGTACAGTCTTTCTTTAATGGCACACAGCAGGCTATTTTGCAAGACGTCGCAGGACAATTGAAACCCTTACGAAATGTAACCGATGTTTTAATTAACAGAATTGATGTAGAATTAAAGGAAGAGAGCCATCTACTGAAAGCAATACAAGAAAACCAAGGTGGCCTAAAGATCATAAATGATAGACTAGGGAAAACAGGTAAAAAAATTATTAGAAATAAAAGAAAAAAAAGTAATTTCGGTTTTTATTAGCGACGGCTACTCCTACTATTTATGTACGTTTCGACCAGCAGAAACTCACATGTTTGACTTCCAGAAATGACCGTGTTCTCCCATCAAATTGCGCCGAATACAACACCGAGTACTGCTGGAATAGTATTTGCCGTATACAACCCTTAAACTATGATAGAGAAAGTTTCCTGGTGGCTTGTGATGACAAAACCGACGGGGGTGGATGGACTATAATACAGAGGCGTATTAACGGTTCGGTAGATTTCTATCGCGACTGGTCGGACTACAAAAAGGGTTTCGGACAAGTCGATGGAGAATATTGGATTGGTTTAGATAGATTACATATGCTGACAAGTACCCAAGGGACTTATGAGTTACAGATAGTATTGCAAGACTTTGACAATGTCACCAAATACGCCAAGTACGATAAGTTTGTGGTGGGCAATGAAACAGAGAAGTATTTGCTAAAAGACGTTGGTGTATACAGTGGAAACGCTGGTAATTCCTTCGGCTATCATAAAAGTTATCCATTTAGTACCAAAGATCAGGATAACGATAAGGCTGATAATTATAGTTGTGCTCAAGGTAAAAAAGGGGCATGGTGGTACGAATCCTGTCAATGGAGGTGAGTATTTTCGCAGGTCTTAACAATTCATTGGTAGACTAATCATAAAATATCTTAGCAATTTGAATGGCTTTTATTATCCGAACGGAACGGTGATCAATGGTCGAACTGGTACTGGTATTAATTGGGGTGAATTTCATGGCTTTAATTACTCGATGAAATTCGTACAAATGATGGTACGGCCAAGGATATCTTAAGAAAAAGGGACAGAATGCAGTAGAGAAAGAAGTGGAAAGAAAAAATTTTCTCACAAATTATACGACTCAAATTTCTTTTGGGAATAATTAAGCAGAATAAAAACTGCAACAACTCGAGGAATTTTTGTGACATCTTACTTCAGTTATAAACAAGCCTTTCCTCTTAATCGAAATAATTTGTACAGATGAGCCACCTAGTATGGCACCTTTAAGATCGTTACAAATCAGGCTAAACATTATTGTAATTTTCTTATAATCTTTTACTGCTATTGTACAGGCTACATTAGATAACATTTGAATTTGCGTTGTCAGCGCAAGTCTGCTTAAAAATAGGAAAGATTATGCCACACACAAAATTTACTTTTTGATTTGATAATTTTCTAATTTAAAGGGCATGAATCGATGAGCTATTACGAACTGGGAGTAAGGTATAGAATTTCGAATTTATACCGAATATAAATACAGCAATGATACTTGAAGCTGCTTCCATCTTGAGTCAGTTCCAGGCTTGCTTTTACCTAACTTTTTATACTCATCTGAATGTTAACTATTTACTACCCTGTTGGCCAATTCTGGCCGTTTCTGGTCAATCGCTATCTTCAAACGGTCCAGTTGTTGGTAGAAGGGATCAGAATTTAGCGTTTGGCCATATGGAAGCAACTCATAATAAATAATCCCCTTCCAGTCCCACCAAATGCATAGCAAAACCTTCCTGGCCTTTTGAGGTGCTTCACCGCTCTTTGACCACGATCGTTTTCGCACAGGGTTATCGTATGTGATCCATTTCTCATCTCCAGTCACCATCCGTTTAAGAAATGGGTCTATCTCATTCCGTTTGGCCAAGGCTTCGCAGATGGAAATTCGATCCATCATGTTTTTTTCTGTTAATTGGTGTTGCACCCAAACATCGAGCTTCTTTTTGAATCCAGGTTTGTGTAAATGGTTTAAAATTGTTTTATGGTCGATTTTTAGCTCCTGGGCGGTGTTACGACTGCTAACATGCCGGTCAACTTCGATCATTTCTCCGATTTTATCGACATTTTCGACGACCGGCCTACCTGTGCGAGGTGCATCTTTAACATCAAAAATTCCTGAACGGAATCTACGAAACCAAAATTGCACATAATTGGCTGTTACAATATCGGAACCATAAACACCATTCACAATTTTAGCCGCCTGGCTTGCATTTTCGCCTTTGTCAAAGAAAAACTGTAAAATGTATCGAATTTTCTCTTTGTTCACTTCCATTTTTAACACGCTGTAACTCACAACTGAGTGCACCAAACAAAAAACAGCAAAAGAATTTTTTTTACTGCGAAATGTCACCTTTCCAACGAGCATAATTATGAAATTGTTTGATCGATACTTTACGAGAAATCTATCAGTGCAGCCATCTACCGAAAAAATAATGGATTTCTTTTTCCCCAAACTAATATTAGGTGATTGCATATGTTTTGATCAGCGACATGTATTGGCAATGCGAAGAATCAATGGACACAACAATCAAATTCGACGATTTTCACCTCTCTCACAATGAAATAACAGTTTTCTATTTAGAATCATTGAGTTATTGAGTGTATATAAATTGACACTGCTCCGTCATACCCCAATTGTAGATTTGGTTACAGTAGCTTAAACGTGATAATTTTGACATCAATGAAAAAAAAGTTCGAAGACAATGAGCTGCAAAACTTCTTGGACGAAAACCCAGCTCAAAGAACTTTCGAACAGCTTAGCGGTTGATGAATCAGTTGCTTGTACGCGTTTACATGCGAAGGAAATATGTCATTTCAAACCGTTTTAACATCGCGGTTTTTTTTGTTTGCCAAGAAAGAAGAGAAGAATTTTCTTTTAGGCATTGTAAATAAAGGTGAAAAATAAATCTACTGCTTCAATCCCAATCAAAAAGTCATGGGTTAATCCAGGAAAGCCATCCACATCGACACTGAAGCGGGATGCTGTATGTATGTTAGGATCAGCAAGGTGTAGTGTATTACGAGCTGTTAAAACCGAGAGAAACTGTTATTACGTAACGGATGCAAATCCATCCTTTTACATTATAACGCTCGGGCGCACGCTGCAAGACACACTGTTGCAGCTCGAAAATACCTGCTGCACCCAGCGAGATAAGCTTTAATGTCCCTAATCGCATCTCTAGACACTTTGTCTTGATTAAGCATAGGCAATGTAAATATAGTTATGAGATATTTAACCCACTAAGAGTTATTTGCAGAAGCCCAGGTGGCGTCTATCACTTACTCTAATTATCGGACTTTTTAAAGTCTATTAAAGCAACATTGTTAAATACGCGCGATTTACCTACGTCGTAATTAAACTAACTTTTAACCTCAATAAGGCATTATGATTCGAAAATTAATTGTTGTTTACTGCTATCGGTTGCCAAGCTTTTGCATGTTTGCGATGGCTTAGGGGTTCATTTGCAGTTTGGTCCTGTACTGGTTGTGGGTGTGGCTCTATGCTAGTTGTGCACATGCTTTTTTTTCCTTCTTATTTGTTTTATTATACTTATACTAGGTTTTAATATTAATTAATATAAGATTTACTTTAAGAGTGAATTGAACTCGACAATTTGATTTAGTTGAGTTTCATGGATAGGTAAATAAAATAAGTAAAAAAATAATTAAATAAATAAATAGCGCTTTTTGGTTCAAATCGATGGAGCATGGCTTAGCTAGGACGTGAGTTCGAAATGCTGAAAGTGCGAAAATAGGTTCGTGATTCGATCGCTGCCACACAGCATTATTCTTTCGTAGCGGCATAACCATGTTGCCGGAAAGATGAGAAGAAGTCGTAGAAAATTGTGGAAAATAGTTTGATTAATATATATTGTATTAGTTTTTTTGAAACACGCCTTTTGCAAGTGAAACAAATAAGAACGCATTATCGCATTCTACTCTAAAAGTTCTTTCGTTTAATACCCTTATCGCTGATATTATTAAGGGCAAATTAATCCATCAGGTCGCGGTGTCTACCGTATTCATGTTAGGATTAATCCATTTTTGGGCAGATAAAATAACTTCACTTGAGGAATGTACCAAATAACAAGCAAACATTTTGGCTTATTTGTCTTATGATAAATGAACATAAAATCTCAAAAAGTGAAAAAAATAAAATTTAATCACTTGTAACTTTATGTGGCCACTTTTGCACATTTTTGCTCGTACAGAGCAGAGTATTTCGTAAAATAAATTTCTGAATAACGAGCAAAAACCAATAAATTTTTGTTAAGAAAAAAGGAATTGCATTCGGCTTACACTTGCCTGCGGGCTTCTCCTTTGGCCAATCTGGCCAAGACTGGCAACAACAAATACCATACGGCCACGCAGGCGGAGAGACCCACGGATGGGCAAATATGGTTTAATCAATTCAGAATTTCACGCTGGTGAAGAATCTACATACTTTATAGGGCCTCTGAAGTTCCCTTTTGGCTGTTACATACATTATGAAAAAGCAAAGCGAGGGGTATGAAAATGATCAGAATGCATGCAATCTGAATGCGTTAATATTTGCACGTCATCAAGAACTAAAACTAAACAATTTAACCCTAAATTTGGGTAAAGTCGCTAACAAACCGATAAATTAATTTCGTTTTGATTTAAGCTGATCTAGAAGACGATACTTTGATTCGTGTTTTCATAATTTATCAACTTTTGACAAATTGGACTTCTGAACGTAATGCAACAGCGAATATTATAAAGGACTAGCCTCAAAATAGCTAATATTTAATATGAGTTAGTGATTGTTTACAAAATCTTCGACGTCGAAATTCAATGTAAGCGAAGGATTAAGTCTGTTAAAAATATGTGGAGTGCTACTTAACTTTATTTAAAATGATTAAAAAATAAACGCATTAGATAAAGAGATGTTATTTGGTAAAAAATTGTGTGTTTCTTGGATGCTGTTTTATCAATGGATAGATTATTCTGAAAAAGAGCTTTTCGAAAAAAGAAATACAATAAAATCTTGTTATATACAACTATATTATGGAAGGGACTAGAAAAATGCTGTGTATGTATTTTTGTTTTATTTTTGTAATAAGTATTGAAAATAGAGGGAAAGGATAGTGCTTTCGTTCCTAAACGGATGTTCACATTTGTTCAACAAATTGTAAAAGTTTAGACGCGGTTTGCGATCGTTTTAGTTTGCCGATGTTGTGGCATCTTTCCGCATGAAATTACTTTTTGGGTTTGCTATATGTTGATGACAGTGATAGCAAGGACAAAAACGGCTTTGAGAAGATGCTCATGGTGTGTAAACGATTTTGCGCAATGGTTTAGTTCCTCATTTAGACTGTGATAAACGCTAAATTTTTAAACCGGTCCGTGCTGAACCATACCATCATTCTACAGTTTGTTTAGCCTGACGAAGCGAACTCATCTGAAAGAGAGTTTCATGACAATATTCCGTAGTGTTGTAAGATAAACATCTACACGAAACCGGGAAATACCTGCGTTGGCTGTTACCTTTCCGTTTTGTACACGAAAAAGCAAAGGCGATACTTGCAAATAATTAAAGCGTAACTGTTGCATGTTTTACTTGCCTGTTGTCATACGAATTAGCTGCAAAATTTCCGATTCTCCCTCTGCTTCCCTTGATTACTTAGACCTTCGTAAACATGCCTAATGGTATATAGGAAACAGTTCACTTAACTGTATGCGCATATGATTTTTAGTTATTTAATTCATTTCAGATCTCATGCTCAGACACTTTATTACAACTAAGTTATATTTATTTCTTTTACAATGAGTCAGCGACTACTTATTCTTTAATATACTAGCTAACACTTCATAAATTGTAAAGAATCGCTAGATATAACAGCTCACCGCTCCTTTATGATTTGTGAAGCAGAAGCTTACCTAAAATTAAGCTTTTGCTTTTGCTCATTGCGTTTTGAATAAAGATAATAAAAAAGCATAGGTGTCTTGCAATCTGAGCGAGCCCAAATAATAATGCATTTACGTTTTTGGCTCTTAGTTAGTTTAATTTTTAACAGTGGTAACAAAAATAACAATCCCAATATTGGCTTTCGATTAGCATATGGAAAGTTATTTTGTTAATTTTCGTATAATTTTGCAATGTCTTGCTTAAATCTCAAAAACGAATATTTTAAGCTGACATATTCAAATAAATTTTGCACTTTATTCAGGACGCAAATGTTGTAAAGAACTACGCAAGTAGCGTACCTGCTCTTCCGCTCTTCCATTAAAACATCCCATGGACTTTGCAAAATGAAAACGTTTAATTTCGAATTTTGAAAAATTGAATACTATCCTTACGTAAACCATCTCCCAAAGCAAATGTAAAAGATAATGCATTTGTACATTTCAGGTAACGTAAGTGGATTGGGAGCGTCCGATCCCTTCTCTGCTTCATAAGAATCCTTCTCCATAAACCTTGACCGCGTTATTATTCCAAATGTTATAATATGGGCACACTAACCATTCTGTCTTATAGGTATATATATCTATATATGAGATCATCATTACTTGATTATTTAATTTGGACGTTTAACGATAACACTAATATAATCAGTAGCGTTATGAGTTATTATTATTTTTTGATCTTTTGCTCTTTATCAATGATAGCATATGAGGATGTATGGAAAGATTGATGCTACAGAATTTAATTCGACAATTAGACAAAGCAAAAAAAAAACAGTAAATTAGATTACTTGCCTTTCACAAAGGTAAGATTTTTATTTGTGTTCTGCTTGTTTGGAAGTAAACAGTTTTGTTCGCAATTTATGCTTTTGGAATTCAAACAATAGCGCTAAGGCGACAGCCTAAACAGGTATGCAGCGTATATGGTGAAGGGCAGTCAGAAATTGCTTTGTAAAATTCCGTTCTGGAGGCACGAACTTAAGATATGGAACGTCCTTCCCACTATGACGAATGCCTTTTAAAGGCCACGCCAATTAACAAGAGGTGTAGCAGAAAGGTTGAATACCTCACTGTCAACGTTTAAATTAATATAATTTTGTTATTCAAAGAAAGCAAAGTAAATGTTTGATAAAAAAGCGGAAGTTACTTATGACTCGATCTAACAAATTAAAGAACTTACTGCAACATAAAAAACAGTGAATAAGAAAAATCATATGAAATAAGTAAAAGCACTACATGCACATTAAATACCTTACACTTTGCTTAATAAGCTTATTGATATCCTTCTAAAATAATGCATTATATGATTGATAGCGTTTAGAAAAGTAGTCTGATCCGAACCGCTTTCAATATCATTCGACGAACAAAACAAGTTTGGATATATATAATGAAAAATTGTGGTATTCTGGGTCCCGCATAAATCCGCCCAAGCTTTTATATACCCTTGCACCATAAATGCTTTTTTCCGTAAGCAGGTCTTATATACTAAATTTTATATAAAAACATTCTAAACCTGTCCACTTAAGAAAGATATTGACCTACTTGTGAAGATTTCTGCGAAATGAAATTCGGGTATTCTGACGTCGGTTATGGTTTTATTAGATCACATATAAAATTGCAAAATGTTTGCAAACAATTTCTGTTATATGGATTATTAAGTAGGCCACGGTCTTATTACATCACATATAAAAGTTTAAATTATTTATAAGCACTTTGTGTTACATGTGTTATATGGATTAGTAATGAATCAAACGAAATTTCTGTTACTCATTTTAATTGTTGTTATGTCTACGGCTATTGGCATTGTCAGCGTACTGCAATATATTGCCCACACTACATACTACTTATTACCAAAGAGCTTTAGTTCATATTAACTTTATTTTATATTTTTCCTACAGCTGTCTAAAGCAACTAACGGTACCGACTGGCTTCTTTACTAACTAAATTAAGAAGAGACACGAACAAATATAAAGAGGAGTAAGCTTAACGCTTCAGCTATCACAATAGATTACAACAAAGAAGGTTAAGACTATATACATTTATGTAGCTATCATCAGTAAGAAACTCTAAATCGATCTAGGAACATCTGAAGGACATAGTTTGCATTCTCCTGGTAAGATATCGGCTTTAAACTTGGTAAAAACATCGTAAGTTTTTTCAGATGGATTAATACTGAATTTGGATTAAATCGTTGAAAGGAAATGCAAGGATTACAATATGAACTGAGAACAACTCTAGAACTAATCATATACGGTGTTAACTACCTCTCATTTTCCAGCTTCGAACTTTTCATCTTTTTCATTTTCAGCAAACTGATAGGATCATTTGGCTACCTAAAATGAATGTTTGCCGATTCAAATGCCTACGGGATCCATCCCAACGGTCATGGAATGCGTAATTTAGAGAAAAATTCACTGACAGCTTGTATGAACGGAGATGTAGACATAAATTCTGCGCATGCAGCGCATGGTTCTAAGTGCTGAAATTTTGAGATAAACGCGCACTAAGCACATTAGTCAGTATTATTACAAGTGTTTTGGAATGTTGCTGATGTTAGTTCTTCAATCCAACCATCAAATCGATACAAAAACATATTTCATTTGCCTATCGTTATTACTTTAAATGTGAAACAATTCACTTCAGGTTTCCCCTTCTGCAGCCGAGGTATACCAGGTGTGCCTTGTAAGAATATTTATTGTTTAAGAAGACATTTTATTTGTTGTTTGATTCGGTTGTTTTATTTCAGGAATGGAAATTTTGATTTACAATTATTCTTACCTTTCTGTTTGATTGTCGCTGAACAATAAAAGAATGATCGGTGGTCGCGCCCTGCTTTTATAGCTGCCGATTCACACTTGCGACCCTGGCTAGCCCAGATCTGAGAGACAGATAACATGAGATGAACTGAGAGCTTAACATTTGCATTTTGGTGAGGCCAAGGTGGGTTAGAAAATTTCCATGCCGTCAGCAACACAAACCGGTTCTTAATACCTAAACGATTCTGTATGTATATGTATATGTGTACACAAAACGGGTTTATTATGCAATGAGCAAATGAAGAGAGAGACCTCTTATATCGACAATATTGTAGAAGTCTGATTAATAATAATTTCTTTATCTCTTAAATAAGGCTGTGAGACCGGTAATACACGTGAATTATGATTGCGAGAGCATACGTTCATTAGATAATATATACGATTTATAAAGCAAGGAGCGAATGGGTATATAAAGAAATTCACAAAGTTATAAACGTAAAAATATAAGTGCGTCTAAGTGTAGGTAAATTCTGCAAGCATTTATAAGATATATGTAAGCATGCGTTTATGTTCACGCCTAATTATAATATATGTATGTATAAGTGTTAGCATGGTACATATTCTTCCCTTTCCTATGGCTGGGGTAGCTCAGCGGCCCAGGGAAGGAAAGAAAACCGCAGGACATTTGTATTCGCAAGGACTCTTTTTATTATTCTTAACATTACTCCTTCACTTTGGGTTATTCACATCACTCTTGAACACGACTCGCTTACTCCGACTCGCTAACTTCGACCCTCTACATTCGACTGACTACTCTGTTCGAGAGTCTGGCTTCGACTCCCGTAACTAAAAACTAAAGCTATCCCATTCTATTCTTATTCTATTCCTACGCTATCTTAATCTACTCTTATTCTAGTCCTATGCTACCTTTATCTATTCTATTTTATTCCTATGCTACCTTAATCCAGCAATCCCTTCCCCTCATAAGAGACAGAGAATCCGTGAGGCTAAAACGAGGGACGACACATATATATATATATGTATAACCGTATATAGAAAGTTCGAAATATATGAATATGAATATAGGTCTCTGTAAGTGACAGAAGCAGGCGCTTCTTTCTTATACAAAGGAAAAGGTTTATTAGACTATGCAGGAAAATTTGGCATAATATTTTTTCAAAATTTAATTAAAGATGTTTTATAAGTTTATGATAATTATTTGAGTAAAGCTAAACTTATGAAGTCTTTGACGCCCGCTGAAGAGGAAAGGCAAAAATCAGATACAATTTTCCACCTTTGTGGGAAATTTTTATCTCTCAAAATAAGAGTAGCTGCTCATTGTCATTTGACAGGCGATTATAGAGGACCTACTCATATTAAATGCAATTCAGTATATAAAGTTGCAAAAGTTGTTCCCATATTTTTCGACAATCTTTCAGCGTACGATGTCGGTTGTTTATATGGGAACTTTTATCTGTTAAGGACAGCATAAATATTATTCAACAAAAAAAGGAATCTAAGACAATCGCTTTAGCCGAAAAAGAGTTCATGGTTCTAGTTTTTGAGATTCGCTTAAAAATTAAGATCAACATTACAAAAACTAACTGAACACTTGTCCGATACAGATTTTATCATTACTAAATGAGACCATCACAACGACGACGAATTCAATTTGATGAAACGTAAGGACGTCCACCCTTATGATTATTTATACTCTATTAACAGAATTAAAAAAACACAATTATCATCTCGTTCACTCAATCAAATGGTGAATGAATCCTGTTGTGTAAGTCATAATAAACATGCTAAGGAAGTGGTGAACACATTTAAATGTAGACCCTCGGAGACTATTTGCAATTATTTCTGAAAGTGAATGCTTTGTTACTATGTGATGTTTACGAAAATTTTCGAAAAGTATTGTTACGGAAATCCCAAATCCTGTTCATTCCAGCTAAGTAATAAAATTCCTAAAGAGGGAAAAACTAAATGCACATTCGAACGAATTTAACGAATTCAAAATAAAACTATAAATTAGGTACTAGTAATATGATGGTAAAAATGTGCATAAATAGAATATTTGTGAAAGCGGAGGTAGTGGAAAAAGAATATTTGAGGTAAGCAGTCGAAATAATTGCCAAAAATAAATTTAGCATCTACCACGGCACAAGCAGGAGGCACACAAGAAGATTTTGAGTCGTCGGTGTATAAAAGGTTCCACCCGTTACTCACCACTACTTGGGTTTTTTCGTAATTCGAGGTGTCTTCTTTTTTGTGCATAGACAGCGAAATGTCTAAAGAGCAGTCTTTCAAAATCCATCGAGGTTTAACACCTCCAGGGAATGTTCAATACCTTTGCGACGCAAAGAATAGTCAATTGTAGATGATGACATTCGAATTTTCTTGACAATAACAATCTTTCGCACGTCTTCACCGAGAATAGATTTGCTTGAATTAAGAAGCGTGGGCGCTATTGTAGCTTTTAACTCATAAAGTCTATTTTCCAAAGCTGGGAGACCAGTTTCAATTATAAGATTATTTATGGGCGTCGTCCGAAAAGCATAACAACTTGCTCTGACGGCTTGGTGATAGACCGGTTTAAGGATGTTGATATTAGATTTGCAGCTATTGCCATAAATTATCAAAGCACAGTCAACCTTGCTTAAAACAAGCATTTTGGTGAGATAAGCAATAGTGTTAATGTGCGCGTGTTTTTGCTGAGCAACGTACTGTATGAAATTCGACTTGTTAAAATAGAATTTTTTAACCGAAGGCAATGTATGTTCCAACGATATTTCTTGGAAAACGTGAGAGTATGGAGCGTCTGCATGTTTAGTACTGGTAAGTCAATAATATGCATCAGTACATTTCCTGCATCGCATATCTGCTTTCGACAAATGCGCATTTTTTTAAATTTTTGTATGAAAATTTTAGCCCCTGACGAGTTTGCCCATGCGGAGATCTCTCGTCCAATAGATTCGAATATATTGATTGCCTTCGTGCTATTTTTTTCTTTTGTGAAAATGAGACAATGTTCGATTCTCGGTGCACAGCAAAGAATTTTGCTAATTTCTTTGAAGGCGATTTGGATAAGCGTGACGGAAAGAGGAGAACCTTGCGGAATTCTATTCACTAGCGGAAAGGAATCAAAGAGATTATTGTTGATTCTAACTTTAAATCGCCGATGTGACATGAATGATTTGATTTAGTTGATGAATTTGGGTCCAACATTCCATGATTTCAAGAGTCTTAAAATAACATGAAGACCAACTCTGTCAAATGCTTTTTCGAAATCAATTGAGAGAATTGTTACGTGATTCCGTTCGGAAATTGCTTTGCTTGTAAAATAATAATTATGTAAAAGCGCGTCGATGCACCCTGTACCCCGCTTGAAACCAAATTGTTGCTTTGTAATCAGGTTCTTGGATTCAAGAAACCAAGATGATCTAGATGCCATAATCTTCTCTAAAACCTTAGAGAGGCAAGATAAAAGAGAAATTGGGCGATAATCAGATGCGATGGAGACATTTTCTGACTTTGGAATTGGAACAACTGTTGCCAGTTTCCACATGTAGGGTATATGGCCAGTCATAAACACCGTATTATATAGGTCCAGTAATTTCTTTTTACTAGACTTAGACATAGCACTGATCATTTGGTATGAGATGCGGTCTAGACCAGGTGTCTTCCCCTTCAAATTGGAGAGACAACTTCCAAGTTCTGAGGTAGATACGCAATTTTCCAGGAAAATGGCACATCAATCGATATTATTTGAAGGAGATATTGGAGTCCTTTTATTTTCAATGAAAGCCCTGGAGAAGTTGCTGTCAAAGGAGTATTCGCACCACGCTTTTCCAAAGCAATTAGAAATCTCATCTGCGTCAGTTAAAGTTCCATTGGGAGTGCAGATGGCAGAAATTTGGTTCAGGTTTGAAGTCCCATTAAGTCTGTTGATTTTGTTCCAGACAACTTTCATTGATGTATTTCTGTGAATTCGTCTCGAGAAAAGTTCGAAACTAAGTGCCTTTGATTTCCGTAATTCCTTCCTGAATAGAGCATTGGCCTTTTTGTGTAATAACAAGTGATTCTGATCAGGACATCTCTTAAAGCGGTGCCATAGATCCATTTTGTCTTTCCTCAATAACGAAAGCGTGTTGTGCCACCAAGAAACCCTAGCTCGTTTAAAAGAGCTGTTGGATTGAGGAATAGAGACGGCT